CGCACTTAATTTCGTTTTTCACACAAAATTTGATACAGGTTCTTTGATCCATTTTTTTAAATAGGTAAAAATCGAAGACGATCCAAAACACCTGCAAGCAAAGCAGCTGTCAACAATTAAGTGAACATTCAAAATGGCCGAGCTTGTCGGCATAAGTGAGAGACATGAGTACCAACATAAAGCCACAAAAAGATCGAAATTCGAATATACGTAACCCGCGAAATTTCAAAAGTCGCGATACTTTTTGAACACACCTCGTATAATACAATAGTACGAGTCTTCTAGTTTACAGGGATGACTAATAGATTACCCTGTAGGGCTAAGTACGGTGTCGTGAGCCCCGAGCCGCTACGGTAACCGTGAAGGCCTACAGGGAACTCTGAAATGTAGGCAGACTAACAGGGCAATGGCAACTCCCCTTTCCATGGAGATGGACAAGACACCACCATTGTTTTTGCCTCTATTTTAACGCGAGTTAGATTTTTTTTTTGCTTTATAACTCTAGTCCCTGTCTTTAATGAAGATGTAAAATTAATTTGAAAAAATATTTTTTTTTTAAATTTCAAATTAAAAACAATTTCATTTTCCCCCTATAGCTCTGTAGGAAAATTCCATTCTAGATTTAAGGTGGCACAATAATCCTTTATTTATAGTAAAATCTTTGTTTTGTATTTTAAAGCACAATCAAAAATTGAGTCGATGATTTTCATAAAAATCATGGTGAAATTTTCACTTGATATTTCATGCAGTTATTTTCACAGTTCAGTGGTACCGGCCGAATCTTGAAAGGACTAGATTCCCAGCGCATCTTAAAAAAAAAAAAGGGAAACTTAAAAGAACAAAAAAGTTTTGAATCTCTTACGATGTGGCGTCTAGGTATTCGTCTAAATCTTCTTCTAATTCCACCGCATTATTCCGGGTCGCAGTGAAAGATGAGAAAATCCAGCAATAGCTTTATAAATGAAGATTATAAATAATTTAAAGCCTTATTTATTGCCCCACATATTTACTATTTATCTTTATACAAAATATTTATAGAATAAATTATTTAATTAAAAAGACATATATTGGATCAAAATATCATTATCATTATGTGGCGCTGAGTTTGTTGTTGACACACATTAAATGTTATAACATCTTGATAAAGGTTGGCGTTCAGCCAACTGAAATATTGGTAAAATAAATGATATTTTGATCCAATATATGCCTTTTTAATTAAAGATTGATTTATGGATTGCTCTATTTTCAGAATGAATGATATATTTATATAACTAATTTCTTGTTTCTTTTTCCAAAACAACTCTTTTTTAGTAAACATTTTAAATAATTCTGGGTGTTTCAGACTCTTATTGTTTTGCTACTTTTCCAAAACGGTAAGCAGCTTCAGTGATGAAATATGTTTTAATTGATAATCAATATTTGATATTGAGCGATGTTAATATTTTAAAGAATTTTACATGCTTATAAATTTTTTAAAATAAAAATTAACATTGGGATGATACTATAAAATACGTATTTCTAATTAGAATTGATTGAAGAATCGTAGATCTTACAAGAAATCACGCATGTAATTTTACAAAGTTTTGAATCTGAATTTGCTAAGCTTTGTGTTATTTGGAATATTCGTCGAAAAGGCTTAAATACATTTTTTAGAAAGCAAAGTTAAATTTCAAAAGATAAAATAACAAGAAGAATGTGACGAAAATTAGAATCACCATTTCAGTATGTCAGTATTGATAATTATAATTAGAGCATTGTATGTCAGTATTGATAATTATAATTAGAGTATTTTGTATGTTGGTTTTGATAATTATAATTAGAGTATTGTATGTTAGTATTGATAATTATAATCAGTGCTGTAGTCGTAAAATTAGCATAGGGTATACGCTTGAGAATATAAATTTTTGGTAAAAATAAACAAGGTTATTTTTAATTATATTTTTATTTGAAAAAAAGACGTAAAATATTACATACAACTTTTACATATATATATTACATATATTTCAGTACAATTTTTATCATCATTTTTTTTTACTATTACAAAGAAAAAAAATAATAAATTTTTAATAAAAAATTTGAACAAAATCATAGGGTATACGCTATTTTTAAGTAAAACCACTAGGTATACGCTATCTAAATTTTAAAAGCATAGGGTATACGGCGTATACCCCGTATACCCTCCACTACAGCACTGATTATAATTAGAATATTGTATGTTAGTATTGATAATTACAGAGGGTGTTCACACTTATAGGAAACAAGTTTTATATAAAATATTAAAAATTAACACCATATTTGAAAATTTTCAAATGTTCTATTTGAAAGCTTTTTGTTTATTTACAGAACGGCACCTAATTTTCCACGATAGCAGACACTTTCTGATCATGGTCATACTCAAAAGTTCCCATTCCTTCTTTACCACTTTTCAGAGCCCTTCAATTGTCCTATGGTGTCTCTTTCCAAGTGCTCTTTTAAGGCATCCAAAAATGCAAAAATCCATCGGGGCTAAATCAGGAGATTTCACAGGGGTTCTGTTCTTTGGAATAGTGTTGATTCCTGTTCTTTGCCTTAGATCTTCCAAATAAGCTTGGGTTGAAGATGAGGTATGACTTGTGGCGTTATCATGGTGAAACCAGACTTTGTTGCTCTGTTTTCCATAGATAGAGGGAATATCATTTAAAAATATAGGTTCTAAAATTTGTTTTGATAGTACTCCGAGTTTATAATTAGAGTATTGTATGTTAGTTTTGATAATTATAATTAGAGTATTGTATGTTAGAGAGTTTTGATAATTATAATTAGAGTATTGTATGTTGGTTTTGATAATAATAATGAGAGTATTGTATGTTAGTTTTGATAATTATAATTAGAGTATTGCATGTTAGTATTGATAATTATAATTAGAGTATTTTGTATGTTAGTTTTGATGATTATAATTAGAATATTGAATGTTGGTTTTGATAATTATAATTAGAGTATTGTATGTTAGAGTATTGATAATTATAATTGGAGTATTGTATGTTGGTTTTGATAATGATAATTAGAGTATTGTATGTTGGTTTTGATAATCATAAACATAATATTGTATGTTGGTTTTGATAATTATATAATTAGAGCTAACATACAATACTCTAATTATAATTATCAATACCCCCCCCCCCCCCAACATACAATACTCTAAAAATAATTACCAGCACACTCATACACACAATACTCTCATTACAATTATCAATATTCACACACAATGCACTCATTATAATTATCAGCACTCATACACACTATAATCTCAATAAAATAGGAAGCCGTTCTATTGGCTTCAGGGGCGGCTACACCCGGGGCCTCGCGCCTCTACCGCCAGCTTCTGCTGGACTACGACCGCGCCGTGCCGCCGGTCCTCAACAACTCCGAGCCCTTGACCGTCTTCGTCAACCTCAAGCTGCTTCAGCTTGTTGACGTGGTGGGTATCCGCCTGCTATACAACCTTATAGCGAATTTTAAGTAGAAAAATAGAGTAAATCTAGCCTGCTTTCTTTTCCCTCCAATTCCTATATTCTCTCAGTATCACCATTGCAATATTAAATTAAACAGCGGTATGGTAGATTAAAGTGGCGAAACCGTTGGGAGGGTTCACCACTGATGAGCCAAGCCCTCCCATAAATTTTTCCATTCCAGTAAGGGCAGTAGAAATTGTGTTATTTTTAAAAGAATCATAAGCGTCTATAATAGTTTCGAATTTTCATAACTGATAGATAGATATAATGCATTATAATATTAAAATTGTTTGAAATACCCTTGTCACTTTTCTATTATTTCCATCCATATTTTATTTGTTGAGAGAGAAAATGATATAATTACAGAAAATGACGACCCATTATGTAATATATTTGAGCCTAATCTCAAAGAAACTGTTGGTGCAGAATTTCAAGTACCAGATAATGACCTTGAACGTATGGGTGGAGCACGTAAGTAAATACAGCTGTTTTTTTTTATTTTATATACAAATCTATACAGTTCTATCAAATGTTAGAGAGTTCATATAAACACACAAAAAAAATTAATATAATTAAAATGTTCTAATTTTCAAACCAGAGAGAAATCATAACAGGCTATATGACTTTGAGGGATCTCCTCTCATATAGATTTAGCTTTTCTATGAGAGTTTTGTTAATTTTTATATAATTTTCTAAAATTAAAAATAATATATACATTCATGAACAAATATTGAGGAAGTGAATTTTTTTATGTCGCCGGTGGCCTATATATATATATATATATATATTTTTTTTTTTTTAAGGAGACAAAGGCACATTTGTTCACACTTGGTTATCTCGTGTGTATTCAATAAAGGGCATCGTGTATCAAATAAATTCAGAGTTATTGTCTGAATATCGATATACATGCTAAAAGGTACAACTTTCTTAAATTTTGTCCATGAGTGTAATTTCAAACCATTTTTAAAAACATTTACATTGACCTATATAAGTGTTTATGAGTCAAGCCCTTCCAAGATACTTTTCCTTCCCAGAGAGTAAAGTTGCAGAACATTTTGAAAATAATCAGCGAAATAGTTCCAATCAATAAACCTTTATCTTGTCATCTGTTGGTCCTTTTAAACTTTCAAAATCGCAGAAATCTAATTATATTGAAACACAAGTAAGCTCATACAACTGTTAGCAGTTTTGGATCGACTACAAGCTCTCCTGGGATCCTACACTCTACGGTGGCCTACACCGCCTCCACATCCCGCCCGACACTATCTGGAAGCCCGACCTTGTCCTCTACAACAAGTAACCACTACAATTACACAATGCCGTATTTTTATAATACAATATAATGCGGCTTATGATTGTAGAACGACATTTGAAAATAATCCCGCATGTGTTTCTTTTGAACGAAAAATCGAAATTTATTTTAAGGAGAAATAATGATTATTTCTAACCTTAGGGATGAAGTATGAAAGGATTAATTGTGAAGAGTAATGATAAACGGAAAAATAAAGTGTCCAGAGATGGGAAATCGAGACCACAGTGTTCTGCTTACCGGGCAGATGCCATGTCCACTAGGCTACCCTGGACATATTAAATAAATATCGATTTTTCGTTCAAAAGAAACACATACGGGATAATTTTCAAATGTCGTTCTACAATGTCGTATATTGGTAATGTCTGGATGTTATCTGATAGCTGGTGTTTTGGCTAGAAGTAATACTTCTAGGTCTCCGTGTTGAGGGGCATGTTAGCCCGAAAGCTTGAAAAATAAAAAAAAATGTAAACCGAAACCTAGCCCTAGATTCCTTATTGATTTTGTCAAAATTTAAATGTTTGCTAGAGCAGGTCTGGAGGCAAACCTGGTGCATCTTTGCATATATGTATCTTTCATATGAATCAATTTAAATCTCCTTTGGATATCTGATATCAGAATATAAACGTTTATGGAGATAAGTATCTTTATTTTTGATCATCTCAAGCTTTCGGGCTTGTCTGCCCTTCCACAGGAGAACAATACATTTAAGAATATAACGCCGCCTGATGCTAAAACTATTATGAATCTATCTACATCTAATATATACATATACACTAGGATATTTTTGCATATTATTTTGCATAAGATATGTTTTTATTTGATTAAGGTATTTACATATTTTACTATTATAAATATGGCATAAAATGCTTATTTAGAAATTCCCGAACCATAGGCCAGATCATTAGAAACCCCATAACCAAATCCAATAATAATACAGAGTCTAGAAACAAGCAGAACACTATATACTCCATCTCCTGCCGACAGTGCAATGCCTCTTACATAGGAGAGACTAGCAGATCAATAGACATAAGAGTTAAAGAACATAGCCGTAATATCAGAAACCAAGATAACAAATCCTTAATATTCCAGCACGAAAATTCTACAGGTCATCAATTCAACCTACAAGATGTCACATGTCACTTCCATAGCATATTCTCCAAATACAATAGACTCATTCTAGAATCTTTAATCTCCAAAGACAATAATAGCATAAACAGAAGAATTGATCTACCCCAACAGTTCCAGCATATTCAACGCAGATGATGCCAACCCCCAACGAAACAGTATCCTCTACAACTGCCACTATTTTTATTTTTGAATTTTTAAATGTATTTCTCTGAATCTCTATTGTATCTATAGCACGCATTTGCGGAGCCAGTGGCCTGATGAAGCGCGACCGCGCGAAAGCTTGCCTCCCATACCTTAATAAAGAAACTCTGCAAATATTTAAAATTTATTTAACTCAATCATAATATTATTTGCATCAAAACTTCAAGTACAAATATTTTACTATTGTTTGTTTTATTCGATGGATTATCATATGGGTTGGGAATTCTATTATTTTATGTTAGTTTTATAATGGCTATTAGCTATTACGTATAAGTTACACATATTATTGTTGATATTATTAGCTGTCACTAGGATATATTGTGTTATATATGTGTGTATCTGTTAGGATAGTACACTCATGGACAGAACTTAAGAAAGTAGAAAGTCTTTTAATCTAAGGATACAGAGGCATTTTTGTTCACACTAGATTATCTTGTGTGTCTTCAATAAAAGTCATTGTGTATCAAATATATTTCAGCTATATTGTCTGAATCTCGATATACACGCTAAAACGTACAACTTCCTTAAGTCTAGTCCATTATTTTGTCCATATTAGGTAGATGCATTGTGAATTCTTCATACCGATATATACCTTTAGGTAGAGATATGCATTATAAATTATGCATATTGATACGTTTAGGTAGATGCATTGTAAATTATTTATGACAGTATATATATTTATGTAGATGCATTGTGAATTATTTTAATACGTTGAGACCTTACGTAAAGGACATATTGTTGATAATAACATGGGTTTAGAAAATGTTTGAGGTCTTTTCAGGTCAAATAACTTTTATTATCAAATTAATAAATTATTAATAAGTTTAATATTTTTTGCTCTATGTGCCCTAGAGTTCTATTGATACCAAGAATAATGCTGCTATTTTAATTGAAAAAGTTTCAGTGCATTAACTTTCATTACACTTCAGTATCACCCAGATGCTTCACATATACAATAAATTTGTTTAATTTTTAAAAGACTCATACGCGTCTATAATAATTCTCATAACAGATGGCGCGCTAATGTATTATGCCGGGAGGATAATGATCTAGAAAAATAAAGGTCATCTCTCCCGTCGAAATCGACGTCTAAACTAATTGCCATCTATTGACCGTCGCCGAAAACTAGCGGCCTCGGGTCGGTAACAAAGTCACAACACCAGCTTTGACAAACTGAGAAGCGTCCACTTGGAGACCATGGTTTAGGGTTATGTACCTCGTTAGTCCAGGACTGGTTTATTTCAAGAGAGAGAGAGAGAGGTCCACAAGGAATCAAATGAAATCTTCACAATCTGCTAAAGATGTTTTTAGATGGCAGAGTGGCTAGGCCGAATCTATGGCCAAAATATACATAGAAATTTTGCCGGGAGGATAATCCCTATATATATAAAAGTCAGTGTATGTATGTATGTATGTATGTGGGTATCTATGTCGGCTATACACGTCCACAATACGTAACTAATCTGACTGAAATTTTAACAGTATATAGAGTAGAATCTGGAAAAACTTATAATGAAAATTTCAGGTCTCTATCCCGAATATTCTTCGAGTTATTTGCAAATTGCGTTGCAAATTTGCCTTTTCGCTCGCAAGCAGCGCCTCTAGTGGTGAAGATGGGAGGTAATATCAGCTGACCTAATGTACATGTAAAACGTGTTTTGACAGGACTTAGAGAAAAATCTGGAAAATATATTTATCGGATTTTTAGCCAATAAAAAATAAAATTGACAGGTTCTGGGCAAAAATAGTTGTTTTTTTTTTAGTCAGAAAATGATGATGACAATATTGCTGTATCATGTTTGATTATCAGATACAAAATTATATCGGGAAAAATTCCAAAAAGCAGAGACCACGGGTGAAACCAGTTCATTTTTTTTTGTACGCAGGAACAAAATTCTAACAGAAAAACATTCATTCGAGCAGAAAACAAAAGCCAGATCATCTTTCTATAAAAATATCGCTTCTCAGACACAAAGTTTGGAGCGGGACGTTTCACAAGAGTGACATCCACGGCGCCAATTTATAATTGTAACGAATAGTATTTGAAAATCAAAATAATACAATTTTCAAATATCGTTGTGAAAATTTACATTTTTTTTTATATATTTTAAAAACACACAAAGTTTGGAGCGGGACGTTTCACAAAAGTGACATCCACGGTGCCAATTTATAATTGTATAACGAATAGTATTTGAATAAAAAACATTTAATCGGGTAAAACCCGGGCGTTGCCCGGGTCATTCGGCTAGTGATTTATAAAATAAAGGACGCCTCTCGCGGTAAAATAGGCGCTATTGACCGTCTCAGCAAACTAGCGGACTCAGGTCGGTGACAAAGCCACAACACCAGCTTTAGAAAACTGAGAAGCGTCAACCTGGAGACAATGGTATCGGGCTAATGATCCTTCGCAGTCCCGGGCGGACTTTATTTCATGAGAGATCCACAAATCTTCATAATTTGCCAAAGATATTTTTAGCTGGTAGAATGGCTTACTTATTCTTAAAATAACAAACACTTAGAAAAGGTTTTATCTTATTATGATTACTTCTTGATTAAATCACTACATCTCGGGGTGGGCTTGCGTAGCGCCGGCGGCAACTTCGAGCTGAGCCTGAGCAACAAGGCCACGCTGTCCTACAAGGGCGAGGTGTACTGGCGCCCGCCCGCGACCTACAAGAGCTTCTGCGACTTCGACGTCACCTACTTCCCCTTTGACGTTCAGAACTGTCACATGAAGATTGGCTCGTGGACATACGACATAAATAAGGTGCCCGACTTATCTCACGACACTAAAGCCAAACATACAAAAATGTCTTAATGTATGTAAAGATTAAACAATTACACCAAAGTTTTATATATTTCAAGAAGAAGGATATATTATAGAGATAATCTATTACATACACTCATGGACAAAACTTAAAGAAGTGAAAATTATTTGATCTTGCCCGTTGTCTATTTTTTATTTTTTCAAGGAGACGGAGGCAATTTTGTTCCCACATTTTATTCTCGTGTGTCTTCAATAAAGGTCACTCTGTATCAAATATATTTAGAGTTATTGTCTGAATCCCGATTTATATGCTAAAAGGTACAAATTCAGCAGAACATTGCAGAAAATGTAACCATTGTTAAATTTTAACCAACACCGAATATGATTATGGGTTATTCAAGAAACGAATCAGTTTGTTGCAGATCAACCTCCGGCACCGGCACCAGCGCGAGGACAGCGAGGTGATTCAGGACGGCATCGACCTCTCGGCCTACCAGGAGAACTACGAGTGGGACGTACTGGCCGCCCCGGCCTCGCGCCACCTCGTGCGCTACGCCTGCTGCCAGTTCCCCTACGTCGACCTCAAGTTCAATATGACCCTCCGCCGACGTACCCTCTTCTATACCGTGAACCTGCTATGCCCCTGCGCCCTCATCTCCGTGCTGAGCGTGATGGTGTTCCTCCTGCCAGCCGACAGCGCCGAGAAGATCACTCTGTGTGCCACCGTCTTCTTGTCGCTCACTGTCTTCTTCCTCCTTCTAGGGGACCTCATCCCTCCAACAAGCCACGTTGTTCCTCTTCTTGGTGAGTCTTTTAGTTTTAATAATGAGTACTTACGAATAAATGATGTTCGAACATTTTTATATGGCTCTCGTTTTTTTTTGCTTGTCATTGAGACTTGTTTTCAGGGTTAGCATACCTCCACCCTAAATAAATTCCCATTGCCTCTATACAATCAGTAGTTTGTTACAAATCTCTTGCCATCCTGTATTTAACAAATTTATGCTACAAAAAGAATATCAAATTTTAATTTAATATTCTGTCTTATTTATTTTTTATCTATATAGGAAAAAATATCTTGAATATATTATTTAAAAGTTTTTTTTAAATATGTGCTATTTTATTTCCACGGAGTTTTTAATGCTGCACTCACTCAATATTTAGCTTTATAAAAT